CCTATTTTCGCCCCTCCCGAATGTTGAGTGAATGTTGAGTTTTATTGTTTAATTTTTTTTGTTCACATTTCTTTTTGCACTGTCCTTCACTCCCTTTCCTTTGTGACTGTAAGCCGCCCTGAGTCCCCTCAGGGAAAAGGGCGGCCTATAAATGTTCAATAAATGAAAAATGAAAATGAAAGGAAAGTGTACTAAATTGATTCAGAAGAATGATTTTATATATGAGGTCATCGTTTGGCATCTTCTGTGGTTTCTTTAATTTTTTGGCTTACATTTTTTCTTGTTATTTAGAAGTACCCATCCTGCTTGTGTTAAAAGTTGGTTCAGACAGACTTCCAAAAATAAATACATGAACTTGTCATAAAAATTAGGATTCTTTTCCTGATAGTATATTCTTTCTATTTTAAAAGTAGGATTTATACACAGTAAATAAATAAATAAGGGTAGGCTAGAACAGTTCTTACTGACAATGTACAAAAGTATGTATGTATAGTGGCAGTTAGTTGTGACTCTTGATTTGTACTCTGCACAGATTTTCTATTTCATTATCAGATGTGGAATTGTAGATATATTTTTGAAAAACAGACTTGTTGATAACTGTATGAGGAATTATGGTACTTTTGTATCCATCTTGCACTTATTGTTAATCTGTGAAAGATTATCCAGTATAGAAAATTTTACTTCTATCACAGCTACTAGAACAAATAATGTGGTTTGAATCTTTCAAGTGTAAATACAGCATCTACATTTTCTATGTTTATTTGGAAAATATACCCCAAACTTGATATTTAACCATAAGATGTACAAATTCAGTGAAGGTGCCATTTACTATTCTAGAAGATTTTATTCCAATAAACTATCAGACAGACCCCGGACTTGTTGGATTGGTGCATTTTAGGTGTGTATCAAATAATATGCTTAAGAATCTCACTCTGGGACTTTTGGTGGTATTGTAACAAGATTGTCAGCAAAGATGATTATTATTTGTTGTTGTTGTTGTTGTGTGGTTAATCTTTGGTGAGATTCACAGCCTTTGGGGCTGGGCTGGTTGGTAGCTCAACAGCTCGAGTCCTAACCAAGAATCCAGAACATGCCTGGAAGGAAGTATATAAGGAGAATCATCTATGCTAGGGTAAATATTATGA